TAACTTTTTTTTTTTTTTTTTTTTGAGACGGAGTTTCACTCATGTTACCCAGGCTAGAGTGCAATGGCGCGATCTTGGCTCACCGCAACCTCCGCCTCCTGGGTTCAGGCAATTCTCCTGCCTCAGCCTCCTGAGTAGCTGGGATTACAGGCACGCACCACCATGCCCAGCTAATTTTTTGTATTTTTAGTAGAGACGGGGTTTCACCATGTTGACCAGGATGGTCTCGATCTCTTGACCTCATGATCCACCCGCCTCGGCCTCCCAAAGTGCTGGGATTACAGGCTTGAGCCACCGCGCCCGGCCACACTCAGTAACTTTTTAAATTTTAGTAGAGATGGGTTTTTGGTACCTTGGCCAGGTTGGTCTTGAACTCCTGACCTCAGGTGATCCACCCGCCTTGGCCTCCCAAAGTGCTGGAATTACCAGCCTAAGCCATGGCATCTGGTAACAACATTAAACACTTTAAAAGTTCCCTTAATCCAGGCATCAAGGGCCCGTCCCTAAAGGTCTCTTCTTCCTGGACAATCCAATTCTTTTAATAGGCATAATAAATCATTTTCTATCTTAGCACTTAACTTAGGGCAGACAAAGCAACTTATGTGGATACACTGTGGCCAAATATTTTAAAAAGGAAAACCACTTGTGAGTGTAAAAAGTCATCTGAGGCCAGGCACGGTGGCTCATGCCTGTAATCCCAGCACTTTGGGAGGCCGAGGCCGGTGAATCACGAGGTCAGGAGTTTGAGACCAGCATGGCCAACATGGCAAAACCTCATCTCCACTAAAAATACAAAAATTAGCCAGGCGTGGTGGCGCGCACCTGTAGTCCCAGCTACTGGGGATGCTGAGGTGGGAGAATCACTTGAACCTGGGACCCAGAGGTTGCAGTGAGCCGAGATCATACCACTGCACTCCAGCCTGGGCAACAGAGTGAGACTCCATCTCAGGAAAAAAAAAAAAATGAAATCTGGCCACACCAGGTCAAATTACATTTTTTACAACGGTAACAAGCTTTCAAATTGTAAGCAGCCCAAAGTTTACCTTCCTTTGACTACAAATGGATACATCAACTTCAAATAAAATATGCCAATTTGTATAATGTTAGTGAATTATAATTGTAAATGCCTTTAAACATGAACTATCTCAAACTGTCAGGATCCGGACTCTGTATATTCCATTCAGAAAGCTATTTTGGAAAAGTAAAGCTATGGAAAAGAGTTCAAAACAATTTGGGAGGATATAGTAACAAAGAGGTAGTGTAACATCAATATTAGACTGGGCACAGTGGCTCACACCTGTAATCCCAGCACTTTGGGTGTCTAAGGCAAGTGGATCACCTAAGGTCAGAAGTTTGAGACCAGCCTGGCCAACAAGGTGAAATCCATCTCTACTAAAAACACAAAAACTAGCTGTGGTGGTGCACGCCTGTAATCCCAGCTACGTATAGGGTCTAAGGCAGGAGAATCGCTTGAACCCAGGAGGCGGAGGTTGCAGTGTGCTGAGATCAAGCCACTGCACTCCAGCCTGGGTAACAGAGTGAGACTCCATCCCATTGCCCCCAAAAAATCAATACTGGTATTTAAGTTGTTAAAGTTATTACCTTTTCAAACATTCATAGGACATATGGGAAAATTAGCTTAGAAAGGTACATTTTTGTTCTTAGTGGCTTTCCACACATACATTGATTTATTTCAACCACGTAAGGAAGGCCACAAAACTTCAACAAAAACATGTTTCAAGGTACCTTTTCCTTTCTTTTTTCTTTTGAGACAGATCTTGCTTTGTCACCCAGACTGGAGTGCAGTGGTGCAATCACTGCTCACTGCATCCTCAACTTCCTGGGCTCAAGCCATCCTCCTACCTGGACTTCCCAAGAAGCTGGGACTACAAGCCCTCACCACCACACCCAACATTTTTGTATTTTTTTATAGAGATGGGGTTCCACTATGTTGCCCAGGCTGGTCTTGAACTCTGAGGCTCAAGCGATCTGCCTGCTCTGGCCTCCCAAAGTGCTGAGATTACAGGTGTGAACCAATGCACCTAGCCCTCAACATTAACTCTTCATCACCATAAATTACCATTTCTTATGTTCACAATTCAAATAATTACATCGTTTATGAGCAACTGATACTCATTTTTATGAAATGTGTCTTGACTACAATACTGGTAAGGGAGGGAAAGTTTGGTAACATTGATGGTGGATGGATGAGTGAGAAATATTCAGTTCTACGCAAAGCTGTGATTATTATGAACTAGCCCAATTCATGAAACAGCATTTTCTGTCACATCCTCCTGTTTTTGTATTCTTCATAGTGCTTACACTGTATTTCTAATTATCTAAATTTGTTCACTTGTTACCTGTTTCTTATCCTTTCTCCTAGCAAAATGTAAGCCCCAGAAGAACAAGGACTTTGATTAATGTAGCTTCGGACTCCACAACAGTGCAGATAAATGGTTAGGGTTCAGGATATAGATATACAGTTGTTGTTAAGAATGAATAGCATAATCCTTGCTAGGAATTTTCATTTAAGTGATACTTTTCAGTCCTTGCATTCGATAAGGTCCCTAGGGTCCATCTCTATTTTACTCTTCCATTTCCCTTAATATAGGTTTACCCAGAGTTCTAGTCTCAGTTTTCCTTCATTTACCTGTGCTTTATCTCTTGGTAATAGTATTCCTCGTCAAATATCAACTATCGCATCCAGATGAATGACTGTTACATTAATATCTCTTCTGCCGCATTGGATGCTAGATTTTTCTATCTGGACATACCCTTTTTTTCATCTCAAGCTCAGTATATCCAAACCCAAATTTTATTATCACCACCCGAAGGTACCCATCCTTCCCATTTCTAGTCTTCTGTCTCTTCTGCTTTGGTTTGTAGCACCATACTTATAGTCACCATAACTACTCTCTCTTCTTTTCCTCTGCCACTCTACCCTTCCCTCTGCAGACACCAATACCCACAATTCTCTAATGCTTCTGGGACAGGCAAATGTCATAACCACTGCCATGACACCACTTTAAATCTTTACTTAAACATGTGGCTGGACTACTTAAGGTTTACATTTCTAGTTACTCCTCTCTCTTTCCATTCTATATATAATTCCCTGAACTACTCTCCTCAAAAACTTTTTCTTTTTTTTGAGACGGAGTCTTGCTCTGTTGCCCAGGCTGGAGTGCAGTATCGAGATCTCAGCTCACTGCAACCTCCATCTCCCCGGTTCAGGCGATTCAACTGCCTCAGCCTCCCAAGTAGCTGGGATTACAGGTGTGTGCCACCACACCCAGCTCATTTTTGTATTTTTTTTTTTTTCCTTTTTTGAGATGGAGTTTGACTCCTGTTGCCCAGGCTGGAGTGCAATGGCACAATCTTGGCTAACTGCAACCTCTGCTTCCTGGGTTCAAGCGATTCTCCTGCCTCAGCCTCCCAAGTAGCTGAGATTACAGGCATGTGCCACCATGCCCAGCTAATTTGTATTTTTAGTAGAGATGGGGTTTCTCCATGTTGGTCCGGCTGGTCTCCAACTCCTGACCTCAGGTGATCTGCCCACCTCAGCCTCCCAAAATGCTGGAATTACAGGCACGGTGGTGCCTGGCCCTTATAATCTTCTACATACCCTAGTATCCAAACAAAATATTTTTTTCATTTTCTAAACACAGCTTGTCCTCCTTTCACAATGCTTGTTGCTTAGCCCCCCCAAGATGGAATTCTACATATCAAAGCTCAGTTCCAATGTCACTTCCCCATTTACACATTTTCACCTTCCTTATACTTTTAGAAAATAATCGAACTTCTCTTTGGGTCTTTTACTTCACACTGTTCTATGCTATCATTATCTGTATATCTGTCTTCTCTCCTTGACTATAAGCAATTTAAAGGCAGAAAATGTGTACTGGTCAACATGGAATCCATTATTGCATGCCAGTATCTTGTACAAGGTGCCCAGTATATATATTTTTAAATTGAGTGATTAGACTACAACTAAAATTTGCTATAATACTAACTGATAAAAAGCAGGACTCAGCCGGGCGCGGTGGCTCAACCTGTAATCCCAGCACTTTGGGAGGCCGAGGCGGGTGGATCACGAGGTCAACAGATCAAGACCATCCTGGTCAACATGGTGAAACCCCATCTCTACTAAAAATAGAAAAAATTAGCTGGGCATGGTGGCATGTGCCTGTAATCCCAGCTACTCAGGAGGCTGAGGCAGGAGAATTGCCTGAACCCAGGAGGCGGAGGTTGCGGTGAGCCGAGATCACGCCATTGCACTCCAGCCTGGGTAACATTTGAGAAAGACGGAATAGCCTACTTCAAAAAAAAAAAAAAAAAAAAAAAAAAAAAAAGCAGGACTCAATAAATGGTAGTATTTATCTTGGTATTTATGCAATGTGGGTCAGTAACAGGAATACCAAAGGCAAAAGAGCTTGTTATAAATATGATGCAATTTCAAATCAGTTTTATGGCATAAACTTTGAGAATAATCATATGGCAAGGATTCACTATTTCTGGGAATTAGTGTTGATGTACTAAGCTGTCCATATCACACTGTTAGGTGATAGGTATAGGCTTTGGAGGGCAGAAATGGACTACCAATCTGAATTTTCCCTGAAAACTCTGTCCTTAAGAGTTAAACCAATCCCTAACCATGTCAACAACTGGTGAAAGCTCCTTTATATCAAGGAAGGAAGAGGTTACAATTTAGCGTCATATAAGAGCACTATCTTTAAATGACTTAGTGAAATGCCCCAATTCTTTATGTAAAATTGGTGTAAACTTAAAAGAAAAAAATCACTGTGTAAACAGAAGCAGCACCAAAAACATATCAAGTATAAAAATGTATCATTTCTGGTATTTTTTCCAAAAGCAGCTTCTCCATTTGTATAATAAAAGCCACTTTTTCCACTCATCCATCACATTCACTGGTTCTACTTTGCCAATTAAAGTGATGACAGAAAGAACTGTTATCATTACTTCTCCTAAATTTACAGATAGCCCTGCAAGTTACAGGACTTTTTTTTTTTTTTTAAATTTACTTTTACTTTCATAAAAAGAATGTGTATGGTGGGAGAGGAGGAACAACACAACATTTGAAAAGTATGATAACACAGCCTTTTGGATCACAGGTCATTTCACTAAGCTTTATCTCTGAGTTTTTATTTTATTACCAAATCACAAACAAATCATATTTATTTTACAGAAATTGTGCTACTTTAAGTTCTAAACACAGGCTTTCTTTGGCAGAGTATTCTAAATCAGGAATATATTTCTTTTCCTACTTCCTGGCCTTAAAAGAACTCAAACACTAATGTTTGAAGGTAAAAATAAAAAGAAGAAAAAAGTCAGTCACTTAAAAAAATGAGGATAGGCGTGATTTAGAGTCTAGAGCCTAAACAAAGTAAGAACTCATTCTGCATGCAGTCCATGGTTCGCATACTGTTAAATGACCAATAATGAATAACTCCCAATACCTTCTGCCAGGCTTAAACGGTAATATGCCTCATTTTACTCCAACAAATGAGACTCCTCCTCCTATCAGTCATGGTCTATTCCAATCAGCAGGGTGCCAATAAGCCAGAGGCTAATGAAAAGGGCTTCAGACAAAAAAGAAACAATGGAGTGCTCCCCAGCCCAACTCCAGAACTGTGAGCCCAATTTTTTAAACACTACAGTGCACATTTCAGTTAATCTTTATTATGCTAATGTTATTGAGTCTAAGGAACAAAGAAAGTTATTTCATGAATTACTTTTAAACATCAACTTCCCTGAATTTTCTTTTCTTTTGTTAAAGACTACTGACCATTTAACGATCCAGATTAAAACACACATAGACACACACATACACTCTCTCTCTCTCTCACTTTTTCCCTTGCTCTGAGGTAGAAATCAAAACATAAATTATCACAAAGAAGTCTGATATAATCAACAAAGTTAAACAGTCTTCTTGTTTGATCTCCTCTAAATTAAAGACCAAGTGTTTTGATATGGTATTAGGCACTGAAATAAACCAGATGTTTCTTCCTCTATATAACTCTCCACGGGCACAATCTTAAAGGGTTATTGTCTGGCAAATGTTCAGGGAAACACATTAGAAATGGCACGAATACCCAGATTTTCCTTTCCATCTACCCTAGTTTTTTTTTTTTTTTTTATCTAAACTAATGCATAATCCACAGGGCTTTGGGAACTTTGTGTAAATACTCTCATGTACAATTCTCTTTCTTGCTATCCTGAGATTAAGACCACAATTATCCAGGCTTAAACCTAAAATAAAGGAACCTTTGCAAATGCATTATCTGGCCTTACATGTTTAATCACACAGTATTCCGTGTGCTCTTTAATACCTAAACTGAAGAACAAAGGTTGTACTCTCTGATGTTGCTCAACATGAAAGATCTTATAAGACGTATAACAGACAATTGGGGAAACAGAATTATTTTTTAATGACAATAGCATAGTGTTTCCCCATCTAAAACTAGATACTATATTAAAAAGTCACATTCTAAAGAACTTAAAATTTTAAAATAGTCATAGTCACCATTTCAAAAGATCTACAATACCTGACATAAAATTCTGATACGCATGTCAGACTCAAACGTAATCCTCATTAAGTTCCTTCTCCTCATCTCTTCTAATCCTTCCTATCCCCAGATAATGTAATGTTTTTCTTTTTCAGTACATTTTAAGTGCACTAAACATATTAAAGTGAATCTGAGTCTGTAAGGAAAGTTAGAAAAAGAATGTATTTGGGGAGGTGTCTGGCTAGGAAGTGGGAAAGCAGATGCATTGAAGGGAAGGATTTGAAATGTGCAGACTATGGCATGCAGTGATGGAGCAGATGGAATACATCACCGTCAGCTATGACAGAAATGATTTATGGAATGACCTGGCTGCTCCTGCGTAGTAACAACACAGGATGACAGAGCTGAGTTTCCATGACAACCAAAGCCCACCCACTAACTATATTAAACATTTCTTCACTGGATTCCATTCACAGTGAATTTCAGTATTCTCCAAATGCCATTTTGAGTTGGCTAGTATGCTGTTCATATTATGGGAAGATACTCAAGGGTGTGAATGAAGGGCCAACAAAATGAGCTAGAAGGGCCACAGAGAACATCACAAATTCTTGCCTTGCCTATATGCCAAGGTTCCCTGATAGAAATTTTTCTTTAATAAAATAAACAAATGACCTTTAAGAAAAGAGTCCCCAAAATCAAGGTTACATTTTTAAAAATTACCTAGCACTGAAAGTTCAAATGTTATTTGTCTTCTTACATGTGAAATATCTGTTACTGGATTTTTCCAGAATCAGGAGAAGGAATATGGCAAGTTAATCAGATTGCCATATTGACTTCTCAGATTAAATACAGAATAAAATTGCCTGGGGAATTCTCAGATTTCATATAGAATAAAATTTTCTTCCTATATAGGTCATTTTCATCAGGGGGCAGTAAGTCCAGAAAAGGGTGAGGCATTTTTCTTTCATTCTCACTAATACCCAGTAAGACAGTTACCATTAGCACTGCAGTTTCTGCATGTATGGAACAGTGTTTAGAACAGGGTCTGAAGCTGGTCTCATCAGGGTTCTAATGTATATGGGCTTTATCCATGCTAGCTCATGATCCCCCTAGGGCAAGCTGCTTAATCTTTCTGAGCTCAAGTTACTTAACCTTTTAAACCTTAGTTCCTCATCTGTAATGTGGGGATAACAATGCCAACCTTACAGGGCTTTCTTGAGGATTATATGAAACAGGGCATGTAAACGCTTAGGATAGAGCCTAGTACCTAGTAAGCACTCAAATTATAGCTGATAAATTGTGTGGGTTTTGTTATTATCATTACTATTATCATTATATGATCCAAGACGGAATTCAACAAACATTCACTGAGCTCCATTTTGTGTGGGACTCTACTATGTAGCAGATGAGTGTGACTTGGCTTCATTTTCTAAAAAGCTAGTACTCAGCTGTAGAGAAAAGTTTATTTACTTAAACAATATACAAAGAGGTTTATCTCCTTAAATGTTCAACAGTTGCTTCCTACCACTCAGGCCTTAAAGTGTTCTACATTCTCCATGAATGGCAACAAATGTATATGACAGTTAATTGCACTTCAGAAAAAATAAAAGACAATTCTGTGGGAATTCTAAGCATAGTGCTTAGAAAAAAAGAAAAAAAAATCATCTAAAGTAAAATTTTAGGAAGTGCAAAGCACAAGTGCTTCTTTTTAATAATTAGATTTGAAATCGTTACAAAAATTTTACAGATTTACTGATAAATGCTCTCCCTTCTAGCTTTAGCATTCCCAAAGAAGAGTTTTTAATCTTAACGTCTTAAGAATCAGATACTAAAACATAATCATTGCTTTGATATTAATGCCCTGATGTGATGTATGTAAACTAGTTGCTCAACAAAATACTATCAGATTCCTTCAAATCAGTTTTATTCATTTTAGCATGAATTCTTCAATGAATGTAGCTTTTTTGGAAAGAGGGCTCTCATTTCCTACCCCCTGAGTAAATCAGGTGAAAGTGACTTTAAAAAAAAAAAAAACCATACAGTACATAAAATGATTCTGATCTTGGAAAACCTTCTCATAAAGGCATTTCATCCTCTGGATCAGAATACTGAGTTATCTTTTGTGGTTCCACTTGACTTATTTTAATGGGTCACTTACTAAGTATGTATTTAGAAGAAACAGATTTAATGATTAATCTTAGCAGTTTGTGCTTTAGATGGCTTCTTTTTCCTCTTATCAGCATTTGCTGTACCATATGCACAGCATTTAAGGACAAGCATCAATACAAAAAGAGAATAACTCTTAAATGTGTAATGAAATTAATCTTGTTACATCTATACCCTTTAGACACTTATCACCTACAAAATCTAATCACTGTATTCAGCAGTGTAAAATTCATTCAGCAGAATGTGCAAAATCAATACTCACAGATGCCAACGCCTTTCCAAGTGCATCACCTGTCTGTGAGCTTCCAGCAGCATTCCCTCTGGTTCCTAGATATTTTATAGAGAAACAAATTAAGAATGTTAGCAGCAAGAATGCTATTTTAGCACTCTGCCATTATTTTAAGGGTATTCTCTATTGTCATCTCATATCTGTTACAATAAACTAGGAAATACTCTGCATGTGTTGTACTTACTAATAATAAACTAAAAATGAGTTTCTTACCAGTCTCCATATTGATGAAAATAAAAAAGCTTCTTGTCTTCCTGCCTTTCATTTTTAAATTCAACACAAAAAATATATTGAAAGAGGGGGCCAAACCAGGTGTGACGGCTCATGCCTGTAATCCCAGCTCTTCAGGAGGCTGAGGCAGGTGGATCACAGGAGTCTAGGAGTTCAAGGCTAGCCTGAGAAACATGGAGAAATCCCCATCTCTGCTAAAAATGGAAAATCAGCCAGGCATGGTGATGTGTGCCTGTAGTCCCAGCTACCTGGGAAGCTGAAGTTGGGGGATGGCCTGAGCCTGGAGGTGGAGGTTGCAGCCACAGAGTGAGAGAGCTGAGAGAGACAAAGACAGACAGCAGAAAGAGAGAGAAAGAGAGAAAGAAAAAGAAAGAAAAGAGAGAGAGAAAGAAAAAGGAGGGAAGGAAGGAAGGAGAGAGGGCAAGAGGGAGGGAAGGAGGGAAGGAAGAAAGAAAGGAAGGAAGAAGGGAAGGAGGGAGGGAGGGAGGGAGGGAAGGAGGGAGAGAAGGAAGGAAGAAGGGAAGGAAGGAGGGAGGGAGGGAGGGAAGGAAGGAAGGAAGCAAGAAAAAAACAGGGGCCACATGTATGTGGTGGGTCATGTCTATAATGCCAGCATTTTGGGAGGCTGAGGTGGAAGGATCACTTGAGGCCAGGAGTTTGAGAACACCCCTGGCCACATAATGAGACCCTGTCTCAACAAAAAGTAAAAAAAAAAATTAGTTGAGTATGGTGGTACATGCCTGTAGTCCCAGCTACTGGGGAGGCGGAGGAATGAGGATCACCTCAACCTTGGAGGTTGAGGCTGCAGTAAACCATGATTGTACCACTGCATTCTAGACCACTGACAAAGACTCTGTCTCAAAAAAACAAAACAAAACCCCAAATACACACACACACACACACACACACACACACACACACACACACACACACAAAGATATGGGGGTGTCACTGAAAATCCCAAAACTAGATTTTAGGAAGTTTTGTCAACTCAAAAAGCTCACCTAGAATGCTATCTGATCCATTGATGGGAGGAGTGTGTGAGGCAGCAACATAAGGTGAACTGCTGGTACTGCTGCGATGAAAGCTGGACATTGGTGGAAGACTCGTGTTTATGTCTGTTGGTGAAACTGAGTGTGGAGGATAACTCTAGATAAGGAGGGGAAACAGATATGATCTATTAAATATATTTTCTGAATAATATGTACATATAATGGACAACTATGAAAACAGGTCAAAAAGAGCATTTACAAGTTAGCAGCTAAAGAGCGCTACTATTATCATTTACTTTTTTAAAAGGCATGGTAAATGCAGTAAGCCTTGAAGTACTTCAAATTTCAGAAGTTTTGGCAGAATCAGATTTTACACTTGTAATCCAAAATGAAACAAAAGTGAGGACAGTGTTGCTGTACCCTATTCATGTGTTATAGCCTACCAAGCGGTCATGTGAATGAAGGCTGCCATAACTACTTTGAGACATGTGGGAAGTGGAGGTCCCCAGAATTCCACCAAAACCAGGCTGGCTCATCCCATTTGATGAACTCCAAAGGTCAGAAGAATTGTGGGTCCCATCTAAGACAAAAAGAGAAATATAAAATTTTCCTTAGCTAAATTTTTTCTTGTATTTCGATGATGCTTACAAAAATTCAAGGGGTACCCTCCAGATATTTTTCCTCCCTTTTCCAACCTAGTCTTCTACCCAGTTTTCTTCCCTCTAAACAGTAAAATTATTATTTAAAAGGAAGAAATAAACGTTTTAGTTAGAAAAAAGTATTTTAAGCTGTAATAGGCAGGCCATTATAAAAATCTTCAGAAGATCTAAATTCTTATCAAGAAAGATTAATAAAAATTCCAAATTTGGGGATAGGCTAGATTTATTTTTAGTTAAATGGTATACTTATAAATAAATAGAAAGTTATAAATCCGTAACATGCAATGTGCATTATACCAAACACCTTGAAATCATGGAATTAAAAAGTTTCTCTAATAATAAAACTAAGTAATTGATAATTACCATATCATAGTTAGCTTTCAAATGAAATGTGTCAGCAATGACTTTACTCAACAATATAAAGTCAAGGAATCATTTATGTAATAATTTATTGCTCCCTTATATTTGCTTCCCATAGTCCAAAACCACAGGAAACCAAATAAAAATGATTTGCTAGACATGAATTTAAAAAACTGCAACACTTTTTCTCTTGACAAGTCTTACTCTGTTCTGTGATAGTCACCCTTTTTTTGTATTTGTAATTCTAGGTATGATATGAATCCATAAATTAAATAAGAAATTAGAGTTGACAGCTTTCATACATTTAAATTCTAAAATGAACAAGAACAGTTCTATTCTTTTTTTTTAACTTAAGGCCTTATAAATTCAATTATTACTGGACCAGTACTCCAAAGGTTTGCCAGATAATTCAATTAAATTGCAGTCAGCAATAAACAGCACTGGAAAATTATAAAGCTAAATTTTAATTTACTTTGGCCAAAAAAATTACCTAAATAGGCCTGAATTCCTCTATAGGTATTCTCTTTCTTAATACTTTAAAATACTGGCTGATACACAGATGACTGCAGTAGTATTTGGCAACTGTTTGGTAGTACTTACCTTGCATAAAGAAAGTGCTAGCAAACATACTGGTTGGTGGCTTAGGAGATGGATAACTAGGAGATTCACGGTTGAAATCATCTGAATTTGGGGATGGTGCATATACCTTAAAATTAAACAGTAAATTTAATTAAAATGTAAATGACTATCATATTACTTATGTAACATGAGTTCTATATGCTATAAGGGGCTTACAAAGGCCTATCAAATTTTTATGAAGGGCTACCACAAATTAAAAGAATACTGCCTAAATCCAAATAATATCAAACTTAAATACCATCCGCGTTTTTTTTTGAGCTGGTTATTACAGAAAAATACTATTCCAAATATCTCTGCAATGCATCTTGGTACGGCAGTTACACCAAGTGACTGAATAAGTGTTAACTTGGCTTACCAAACACAAACCTCACATAGGCTCATGATTCAAAATCTGATGGACCAAACAAATGTTCTTTGAATACAGCATGAAATAAAATTTGGGTTCATAAAATTCATTGTTTTCAGTTAGAAGATTCAACAAATAAAATCAAAATGAGACTGATTAAATATTGGTATCTTTGTTACAATTAAAAAGTAACTATCAAAGGCATCAAACAATTGTTCAGGAACTTCCTTAACTTGGTAGAGTTAGCAAATAAATTAAAAAAACATTTCAAGTACACTTTCAAATCTGGCAAAGCTTTAAAAAAATCTCATTTAATTTGTTACAGCAGTATTAATTTCCTTTGATAAACCCTTGCTTTAGATAAGCAAACTAGAAACATTTTGAATTAGCAAATGGCTAACATATGCATTTCTCTGGAAAACTAAATGGGCAGCCAAATAACCTTGATGATCAAAATGTGATCTATTACAATAGTCTCATAACTACTGAAACAAAGGTGGAAAACAAATAATATTTAAAGTGATATACAGTCTATAAAGGTAAACCAGGAGTCAGGAAGAAGGGAAAGGTAAGCTATTGTGAGCAGTGTGTGAAAGAAACTATTTATTTTGTTTTAGTTTGAAATGATACATCCATTAAATTCAACAAAATAAAAATTTTAAGTGTTGATTGAAAGAGACTAACATTAAAATTATGGAAGCATGTATTTTAAAAATCATGTATTTGTTTACATAAGCATAGAAAACTTCTAGAATTACACACAAGAAACCTAACAACGGCTACATCTTTGGACTTTGAATTGGGAAGGAGGACTTTTATGTTCTTCTACATAATTTGATATTTTACCTCAAGCATATACTTCTATACACTAATAGAAAAAGAGTTAAGGAAGCACACCAAGATTAAAATGGGATCCCAATTTTTTATTTACATAAACTGACAATTATATTAATTTACTCTTTCTTGGAGGTATTAATTGTAAAGACCCCTTGCAAATTACCCTAACTTTCGCAAAACTCAATTCCCTCTTTTGTAAAATGGTGTTAACACAACCTGCATGAGGAGACTGATGAGATCAGATCAGATGAGATTATATATAAAATGTTTAGTACAGTGCTTTGTACAAAGTATGCAGGCAGTAAGTACTAGCCAATCGTATCATCTTTCATTCTAACAGGAGCAGTGATGTTGCTAAATATTACCTGTTCAATACTCAAATGCTGTTCCTTACAGTTTTTGTCTGACATGAGCCTAGCTGTATATACAGCTTATCCTAAATAAAAGGTTGCAAAGTCAATTTTTACTCCTCTTGCTAGTCCTGATAATACTATCACAGGTGATTTTTTTCTTAATGGATTGCCATTCAGGTTTGTTTCCTACTTTTCACATCCCAGAGATAAAAAGACACATTTACGGTACCTGAGATGTCTCGGACAAAATACAGTATATTCTTAAGAATTATCTAGAAGCATCCTCTAGTTTGAGGAATATGGCAGATAAAATAGTTGGGTCATTATACATACTAAACATACTTTTCTGGTTTAAAGCTATTTCACAAATTATTGTGTTGAAATAAAATAATTGAGTATATCCAAATGTGTCTGCAACGTATTGTACAGGCTGATAGGCAGATAAAGTTTTCAGGAAAGAAACTCTGGACTATTTTTGTTTAATCAAGTTTCATCTTCTAAACTTAGCCCTAGCTAGAAGTGATTTGTCCCCTTTCTATATACATTTCTTCAACCTAAGCTAAAACCACGAACAACAAAAAAACAGAATTAATCCAGAGACCTAGGCAGAAAATACAAAGAGAATCAAATTTAGAAGATAGCACCCGAACATAGGCTTTTTATCACAAATGTGCACTTACTATACACATCATCCTTGATATATAAGTATGAAATATAAAATAATCTAATTCTATCCAGGTTATAGACTGAAACAGTATATAAGAATCTCATACTTGATATTATGAAAAAGCTCCAATTCTGGTAGGTTATTTCACACAAAGCACATAATTTATCAGTTTAAATTTCTATGAAATTTGTCAATTTGTATTTCTTTATCCTTATTCCCATTCAATTCACTGTATTTCACAAATTAATGTACTCATACACTTTTAAATTTTGAAAACGGTTACCATTACAAAAGGAAGTAAAAGAATGAACTTTACTGATTTACAAATTGCTGTTAAATAAAAAAAATATGCTGATCAGATAATGGTTTATTGATGGCCATCATGGAAAGCAAGAAAACTAAGATAAACCACACAAAGCAGAGAAGGGGACTTGCCTTCCCTTATTCAAAAAATTTGAAGTTGTATGGAGAAAATGGCACATTTTAGAGGTAAAGTTTGTTTTGAATGCTAGTCCTTTTAAACAGACTTTGAAAACAATGGACTTTTAAAGAACAGACCTTATAAATGAAAATGTCAAAAAAAACTTCTACTATATTATTTTTGTACTAACACAAGTTCAAAATTTTTATCGTAAGAATGTTTTGAAATGTGACTTTCAAAGAGGTTTTGAAAGCATTTCTAACACAGGCTAAATAACTTTACTTTTGGTATCTTAACTATAGCTTGCAAAAACACAGATGCAATGTTATGAAGCAGCAGTTGTGCCAGTCTCGATTTTTCAGATCAAAGACTTCTTGCGGCAAAACACAACTGATGTGGTCTCAAAGACTTTATTAATTCCAGATGTAGGGAAACAGTCACCCAATTCCACAAAAAGAGCAAGTCTCTCTTAGTTACAATCAGTACTGGCTACAAATTAAAACCAGACTGCATATGTCATCTGATCACCTGAACATAGATGCCAGTTTTTTCCCCCTAGTTAATGATCTAATCATTGGTTTAAATCCGAAGGATGATTTTGTACCATGACAATCAATCGTAAAATTAAGAGAAAGGAATAGGTATGCTTTAAGATTATTAAAATCTACCAGGAGTCATACTGTTTTAAAGAGAATAGAAAAAGGGTAAAATTAAGTAATTTAAGATGTTCTATTAAAATGTGGTAGACATTTTCTTTAGAGTTCTAACCTCCTTTTCAGAATGCCAAGCTCACAGTAGCTCTCATGGGACTAACTCATTTCCCAAGCACTGGTTTCCCCTCTAAGAATGGCGCTAAGAGAAATTCTGAATATGGGGTGAATAAACAGTTCTAACCTGAAAGAATAGAATTGAAAATCTAACAGATACCTCCCTTTCATTATTAAGTCTGTTGAAAGGAACAAACCCACATTAATAATATCTTGAATGTCTTCATCATACTCACTAAAGCAACTTTTAAAAAGGGATAGCATACTTTAGGGATGAATCTTTACAGTTACTATTTGCAGTGATTACACAATTATCCTTGATATGTTTTAGTTCATACAACTAATTTGAGTCAAACTGGCATAGACAGATCCCTTTTTTCCGGCTCTGATGATTCAGTTTAGTCATATGGATAACCCCAAATTCAGAGCTCTAGAGGCTGAAGCTGTGGACTGTGCTCCTGATTTCAGTATGTCTTTGCTGTAATTAATAGTGGAAACATTGCTGTGAGGCAGGGAGGCGTAATGACTTTCTGATATTGAGAAAAAATGCAAAGAAGCAGAGGTTTTTGCTAAAGAAGATAGTTTGTCTTTTTTATCTAGTTTCATTCAGTGATAAGACAGAGTTAAAGTGACTATCCATACTTAAAAAAAATAGATCCACAGCCTGTGTGGTGGCTGATATTTTTTAAGGTCCAAAATGATGAAGAGATGGGAATTTTCTTTAGTATGTGAGAATAGCTATACAACCTAATTGAGATATCCTTCCACAGAAAATGAGAAGAATGCTTTATATGAGTACTGTACAACAGAGGTTTCTGTGATGACAGAAATGTTATGTATCTATGCTGTACAATACAGTAGCTATTAATCACATGACTACTGAACACTTGAAATGTGAACAGTATAATTGAGAAACGTAATTTTAAATTTTATTTTAATTAAGTTAAATACCATTTGTGGCTACTGGTTACTATACTGAACAAGGCAGACTTAGATCCTTCTTACCCAGCTGTTTAAGATTGCATAAATTATTTTGAAATATATTCTAGATTTCTAATAAGTTCCAAGACCTATGAAAACCAAAGTCAGTTCTAAAACATTTTGACAACACCTTCACCTATTTTGGAATAGGAAAGTATGGAGAAGGTTATCTACTTTTCTGAACATGGTCCAACACAGAACTAATAACAATCATTACATTTGGGCTTCTATTAGATCTTTTGTCAAGATGGTTTGAATAGTAGTTCTCTTTAAGTTCCAATATGTTCAGTATCATTAAACACTAACACATGCTAATGTGGGCCTCAAATATGTGAAAGGTCTATGCCAATAACAGAAATTATATTCACACTAATTTACATCAATTTACCAAAATAACAAAACATGACAAAATTATTTGCCTAACTTACACTGACATCATAATTTTATAACAAAAATGATATATTCAGGAACATCCACTTACTTTATCTGGTATCTTATATAATTATATTTAGTATTAAACAATAAAAACTTTACAAGATCTAGCTAAGTACCTAAAACATGAAGAACAAAAAAAAAAGGGGGGGTCTAGGTCAATGAAACATTAATAAAAGAATATCCCAATTCGTGTCAAATCTAATATTAAGAAACTGTAATTAAGACTTTAGGCCTATAATTTTAAGAATATGTACATTTAA